AGCTGAGCGGTTAGAGCTTGTTAGAGCAGTAACAAGCTGTCCTCACTGGAGCTAAAATGTTCCTCCTCACTGAAGTATGGAGCTAAAACGTTCTTCCTAACTTCCTCCAAGCTCTTAGCTCTACTCCTCTACTTCTCTACCAGGCAAAGTGTTCTGTCATGACCCTCGCCTCTCCACACATCCTGTCTGCAATTGGATACACTCTTATGGGTGTATAAACGACACTGATGTTTACTGGCATTGAGGTTGTCTTCACGAGGAGTGATCGTCGAGGCTGAAGCACATTAATGGCAAGCGAATGACTGCTTGGTGCCTCATCAGCTATGACAGATTCCTGGTGCTGTGTCAAGAGCCATGTGCAGCAGTTACAGATACAGAGCACACACACAAAAACACACACACACGTGCCTAAATACGGGCAGCATTGTCACCAGATGGAAAGGTCTGTGCTCGACCCTTGATGGAACATTCTTGTTTTATTAGCGCTGTGATCTCCTCTTCCCAACTTAATCAGCAGCAGATTGCCAGGATCTCAGAGTAAGAAAGGAATCACAATGGCCCTGTCAGTTTCATAACCAGAGGCAGCTGGAGAGGAACTAAATGTTTCTGAACTCTAGAAAGATGATCTGAGGAGATCAACTCTCAGCAGCTTCTGCTCCTTTATCATTGTTTCCTACATAACAGTCACAGAGACAAAACAGTCACAGAGACAGAACAGTCACAGAGACAGAACAGTCACATGGACAAAACAGTTACAGGGACAAAACAGTCACAGAGACAGAACAGTCACATGGACAAAACAGTTACAGAGACAGAACAGTCACAGGGACAGAACAGTCACAGAGACAGAACAGTCACAGGGACAGAACAGTCACAGAGACAGAACAGTCACATGGACAAAACAGTTACAGAGACAGAACAGTCATAGGGACAGAACAGTTACAGAGACAGAACAGTCACAGGGACAGAACAGTCACAGAGACAGAACAGTCACATGGACAAAACAGTTACAGAAACAGAACAGTCACAGAGACAGAACAGTCACAGGGACAGAACAGTCACAGAGACAGAACAGTCACAGAGACAGAATAGTCACAGGGACAGAACAGTCACAGGGACAGAACAGTCACAGGGACAGAACAGTCACAGAGACAGAACAGTCACAGGGACAGAACAGTCACAGAGACAGAACAGTCACAGAGACAGAACAGTCACAGAGACAGAACAGTCACAGAGACAGAACAGTCACGGGGACAGAACAGTCACAGGGACAGTATAGCAGGGAATGTGGATGAAACCAGGGTCATGTTACTCCATTGTCTGAATACAGAGGAATCAGGGCTAAGCAGGAGAAAGTGATTTGTCAGGAAGGATCAGGGACACAGTAACGCAGCAGCTTTTTGTGCTGTGATTAGCTGGTTGTTAGCCTGTTGGCCCTTGTCTGATACCACAGAACTCTTTGAGGTGGATGTCATTGATTCAGTAGGTTGTGACCAGTGGTAGACATGAAGGTAAGTCACCTGCCTGTTTGGTCAGTGGCATGTGTGAGAGTGTGCTGTTCCTCTCCCTCTGTGAGAATGTGGTGGCCGCCAAAGAGAGCGGCCACCCCCCCCCCCCCCCCCCCCCCCCCTTCTCCCTCTCTCTCTGTCTCTCAAGGCTGTGTCTGTGTCAGTGGCTATGATGAATGGCCTCATTTGCCATGTTTCTCTCTATGCCCAGCCAAATTCAAGACATATGAGAGGAAAAGGGATGAAAAAAGCCTCCAGAAGGAAAAGTTTGTTGGTGTGAAATGAAGCCTTGTGGTTTTGGGCTGTGCAGAGGGATGACCTGTTCTGTGTGACATCATGGGGCTGGTTCTGAGGGGTGCTAACAGAATAACCCATCCATCACAGTGTTGTGCTCTGATAGCACATTCCATTTTGGCGCAAATTACAGAGATGGAGCAATTACAGTAGGCCTGCCTGCTTGGCTGTGCCCGTGCAGCTGCCCCTATTTGAAATGAAATATCAGAGTTTCCCTCCCTCGCTCCCTCCTTCCTGTGGCTGAATAAGACGCTCTCCATTGTGACCTAAATGAGAGAGGCTCATTTGTGGGGTTATTTATTTGTAATAAATCTCTCCCTGAGATGAATAGTAGTATCCTTTCCTCCGCTGCTGCCTGCCTGTAGCGGTAAATAGGCCAGGATGAAAATGCATTTTTTTTATATGAATAGGTGCTCTCAGTAACATACCTCTTAGTAAGACAAAGGACTCTGGCGGGGAAGCTAAGATCTTCCTTTCTATTATTTGCTTTCTAAAATAATTGAAATGGTCCATTTTTAAATATGATCTTTCCCTGTATCACCAGGCCTATTAAATAAACTATCTGCTCTGGCTTTTATGTTTTAATGTTATACAGTATGTGTGACTGCCTCATTGTATTGTTTAGTCACATTTGTCCAGGGGGAATGTAATGACAGCTATTTGCTGTTATTGCCTCTGTGGTTACTTGGTGTAATAATGACATCAGGACTATTATATCAGACTATCAGAGGCACTGACATCTCCGTTGATCTGTTTTTGCTTGCACTCATGTAATACAAAATACATGTTATGTCTGCCTATACATATACTGTGCAGTATACTATTGAATGGAAAATCCCCATTGAACTCCCACACTCCAATACCCAGCACCTTCTACTACAGTCTCTCCTACACTACTAACCACCAGCTGTGATGGACCACAACCTGACAGTGTCAGGACTTACAGCAGCTGTTACTCTCTACCTTGCATGCCCTTCTTTCTTACTGTTTCTCTCTCTTCTCCTCGCTCTCCTCTCCCCCACTCTCTCTCTCTCTCTCTCTCTCTCTCTCTCTCTCTCTCTCTCTCTCTCTCTCTCTCTCTCTCTCTCTCTCTCTCTCTCTCTCTCTCTCTCTCTCTCACCCTCCCTCTCTTCTCCCCTCAGAGAGAGGTCCAGCGCCATACTAGATTTTCTCTCTCTAGTCAATAATTACAGTCCTCCCAGCAGTGAAGTCCTCAATGGTCTCAGATTAAATGGATCCAGTTTGATTTCCGACACTTGATTTAGAAGTTGCCTGCAGTAGTAATATAATACTATCCCAGTGAGATGGTGTGGGTTGACTCCTGCTGAATGTGTGGGTGTGAATGTGTGGCACCCAACAATCATGCAGAGAGACAGGCAGAGAGAGAGAGAGAGAGAGTGAGAGAGAGAGAGAGAGAGAGAGAGAGGTACACAGAGAGAGAGAGACACAGAGAGAGAGAGACACACAGAGAGAGAGAGAGAGAGAGAGAGAGAGACACAGAGAGAGAGAGAGAGAGACACACAGAGAGAGAGACACAGAGAGAGACAGAGAGAGAGAGAGACACAGAGAGAGAGAGAGAGAGAGAGAGAGAGACACAGAGAGAGAGAGAGAGAGAGAGAGAGAGAGAGAGGCTGCTCTCAGCGGAAGTAGGCCTGCATACCGTACATGCACGCCTGCACACTCTTCCTCTGCCCTGCTGACCCCTCATATACTGTCCTGCAGAGCCCAGATGTGCTCCTCACAGTCCCTACTGTCTCTGCTCAAACAGTTTGGTGCAGTGGAGTTATTTCATGTGGATTTATAGAAAGCCTATATTTAAGGCCAGTATGATGACAAATACACACACACACACACACACACACACACACACACACACACACACACACAAAACACATATGTGGAATTGTTAAACTCCACTCCTGAGTGAAGCTGCTGGAAGTGTGTGAGCTGTGCTCTCTGCTCTCTGAATTTGACAGGAATAACTGTGGTCAGGTCTGCAGGCACCCAACAGCTGCCCCACAAACCTTATCACGGACTGCCTTCTCACTCACACACACACACACACACACCTACACACGGTAATGGATGCATGCACACACACAAGGAAGCACACACACTGAGGCCCAATAATAGCCTAATATGCTGGTGTCCAGTCAGAGAGGAGAAGGTTGCTTTTGAGAGTGTAGGCCTGGGGGTGATTGAGACCAGGCAGCACGGCTGTCCGTCTGTCACCTACTCGCTACACAGAACACACAAGCCATGAGCATTACCATAAAGAGACACGGGATGTGTTAGAGACAAGGACAAATCTGATGAAATCAGTTTTTTAGAAAGTAAACTGTATGCCAGTTTATGATGGTGTATGACATTGTCAGCAAATACTCAATTCATAGCTGAACTCTGTAAACTCTTAAGCGTTCTATGATGTTAACCATGTGGATTGTTTCTGTGTGTTTCCAGGTGAGCCGTGTTCCAGTGGAGAGCTGTGAGCAGTACTCCTCCTGCAGCACCTGCCTGAGTTCAGGAGATCCCCATTGTGGCTGGTGTGTCCTCCACAATGTGTAAGTACATTATAACCACACAGAGCTTCTCTGACGCTGCATACCTGACATTACTATGTTCTCAACTCCATAGTATCAAGTCACCACACCTTAAGAACCAGAACTCTCTCTCTGTCAGGTGTTCGAGGAAGGATCGTTGTGAGAGGGCTGATGAGCCTCAGCGTTTTGCCTCCCGAGTAGAGCAGTGTGTCAAACTCAGTGTCCAGCCTGGAAACATCTCTGTCACCATGTCCGAAGTGCAGGTACGTCACCTGACAATAAATCATATGTGTGTGTGTGTGTGACAGAGCGCAAGTGTTTCGGTGAGTGTGTGCCCATGTGTTTCTCTGTGTATGTGTGTGTGTGTGTTCTCACATTGACTTGTCCCTCACACTCTCCTCTCTCTCTGTATTCCTAGCTGGTGCTGCAGGCTCAGAATGTGCCTAACCTTTCGGCAGGGGTCAACTGCTCCTTTGAGGACTACACTGAGACAGAGGGACGCATCTTTGGGGGCCGCATCTACTGCCTGTCCCCCTCCACACGAGAGGTCGCCCCCATCACACGCAACCAGGGTGAGACATTTAGCCACTGCATCCTCATGCTGCTATTTGCTGGTAATATAACGCAGTTACACTGTGTGTGAACAACATTGTATTATTTTATTATTTGTCTGTGTGTAGATTGTGTTATACTGACATACTGAGACTCTTTCTTGGGGACAAACGTACTGTGAATCTGTTAGGGCTGGGCAGTGTACATTCTTAGAAAAAAAGGTTCTGGATAGAACCAAAAAGGGTTCTATGCTTGCTTCATATATGGCACCTCTAAAGGTTCTATATAGAACCCTTTTGTAGAGTTCTTTGATCAGAACCCCAGGAGTTCTTCTTCACTGAACCACAACTGGTTCCATATAGAACCCTTGGGCTCCATATAGGGTTCTATATGGAACCAATTTCAGTTCTATATAGAACCTTTAGGCATGCCATATATGAAGCAAGCATAGAACCCTTTTTGGTCCTATCCATCTGCATGGCCAGATGGATGCAGACATGGTGACATGCTTGCAAGTGTTCTATAATTACACTATTACTTTGTGTATCTTACTGTCTGCCAACTACTGGCTGCTAGTTTGTCTTTTCTTAACAAGTTGTTGCTAAAATAAATTGTGTTAGCCGCTAATACTAATCGGTAGTTACCTGGCTAGCTAGCAAACGTAGCTAGCTAATACAGCCTGGTACCAGTGAGGGTGTAGGCTAAGATAAGCATGTTGTTTGTGCAATGTTATCTTCTAAATCAGAGAGGAATAGGTGAAGCATGAATATGTTAGCTAGCTAGCTAGCAACACTGCATGACCAAAACATATAATTCCAATATCATGGGCATTAATATGGAGTTAGTCCCCCCTTTGCTGCTATAACAGCCTCCACTCTTCTGGGAAGGCTTTCCACTAGATGTTGGAACATTGCTGCGGGGACTTTCTTCCATTCAGCTACAAGAGCTTTAGTGAGGTCGGGCACTAATGTTGGGTGATTAGGCCTGGCTCGCAGTCGGCGTTCCAATGAATCCCAAAGGTGTTAGATTTGAGTTGAGGTCAGGCCTCTGTGCAGGCCAGTCAAGTTCTTCCACACCGATCTCGACAAACCATTTCTGTATGGACCTCGCTTTGTGCACGGGGGCATTGTCATGTTGAAACAGGAAAGGGCTTTCCCCAAACTGTTGCCAGTTGGAAGCACAGAATCGTCTAGAATGTCATTGTAAGCGTTAAGATTTCCCTTCACTGGAACTAAGGGGCCTAGCCCGAACCATGAAAAACAGCCCCATACCATTATTCTTCCTTCACCAAACTTTGCAGTTGGCAATATGCATTCAGGCAGGTAGAGTTCTCCTGGAATCCGCCAAACCCATATTCGTCCGTCAGACTGCCAGATGGTGAAGCGTGATTCATCACTCCAGAGAACGCGTTTCCACTGCTCCAATGGCGGCGAGCTTTACACCACTCCAGCCGAAGCTTGGCATTGCACATGGTGATCTTAGGCTTGTGTTCAGCTGCTCGGCCATGGAAACCCATTTCATGAAGCTCCCGACGAACCGTTCTTGTGCTGACGTTGCTTCCAGAGGCAATTTGGGACTCGGTAGTGAGAGTTGCAACTGAGGACAGACGATTTTACGCGTTGCGTGCTTCAGAACTCGCCGGTCCCATTCTGTGAGCTTGTGTTGCCTACCACTTCACGGCTGAGCCGTTGTTTCTCCTAGACGTTTCCATTTCACAATAATGGCACTTACAGTTGACAGGGGCAGCTCCAGCAGGGCGGAAATGTTACGAATTGACTTGTTGGAAGGGTGGCATCCTATGACGGTGCCACGTTGAAAGTCACTGAGCTCTTCAGTACGACCATTCTACTGCCAATTTTTGTCTATGGAGATTGCACTAATTTGAAGGGGTGTTCACATACTTTTGTATATATAGTGTACAAGAGGTAAGAAAACATGCAATGTAACATCTAATTAGGGTCACCTGGAAACACTGACCAACACTTTGGTTCCTACCCTGTCAAAAATTCCTCCCTGGCTTAGGTATTTGTTGTCATGTCAAACCACAATGTATTCAAGGTGCTGCCCACTATATTCCATCTATAGAATTAGAATAATGTGGAAATTATAATAAAAGTACAGGAAATGCAGGAATTGATGAAAATGCCGAAAATGATTTTTGTTTGACGTTAGATTGAACAGTATGAAACAATCAGAATGGAGAAAGCCCCATTGAAATCACTTATAATGTATGTGTTGCCACCGTAGGGTCATGAACTACTCATAAAGCATATTTAGAACTTTTATAAATCAAAAACATAAAATACCATCAAATATGGTCATACCGTCAACAATGTGAAAAATATTGTGAAAGATATTTTGGCCATATCCCCCAGCCCTAGAAGCTGTATATGACTGTAAATCTTTCTAGGGGACAAGCGTACTGTGAAGCTGTATCTGAAGTCTAAGGAGACAGGGAAGAAGTTTGCCAGTGTGGACTTTGTCTTCTACAACTGCAGTGTGCACCAATCGTAAGTTCTGTTTTACGTCATTCTGTGTGTGTGTGTGTGTGTGTGTGTGTGTGAGAGAGAGAGAAAGAGAGATAGAGAAAGAGGAGCGAGAAATAGAGAACGAGAGAGAGAGAAAGACACCCTCTCCTCTCTGCTCTGCAGTGCTTGTTACTGCTGATGAGACCAGACCCTTAATGTCATTTTCTTAATAACTTGGTGCTCCTCTGATGTCATTGATCATGTTTTACTACACTGAGTTATGTTCCTTTAGCCCCTGTATCTACAGTGCCTTGCAAAAGTATTCATCCCCCTTGGCATTTTTCCTATTTTGTTGCACTACAACCTGTAATTTAAATTGATTTTTATTTGGATTTCATGTAATGGACATACACAAAATAGTCCAAATTGGTGAAGTGAAATGAAAAAAATAACAAAAAATTCACCCCCTTTGCTATGAAGCCCCTAAATAAGATATGGTGCAACCAATTACCTTCAGAAGTCACATAATTAGTTAAATAAAGTCCACCTGTGTGCACATGTGTCTCAGTATATATACCTACAAAGGCCTACAAACCTGACTCAGTTACACCACAGAGGGAACACTTATACACAGACTAATTAGGGGATGAGCACCAGGTGTGTGTGATTGACAAGACAAGACAAGTGGAGTGATGAGAATGGGAGCAGCAGTAGCTAGTAAGCGGGTGACTTGAACGCCGAAACCTGCCCGAACAAGGAGGGGAGGCAGCCTCGGCGGAAGTCGTGACAACCTGTGTGCAATCTAAGTGTCACATGATCTGTCACATGATCTCAGTATATATACACCTGTTCTGAAAGGCTCCAGTGTCTGCAACACCACTAAGCAAGGGGCACCACCAAGCAAGCGGCACCATGAAGACCAAGGAGCTCTCCAAACAGGTCAGGGACAAAGTTGTGGAGAAGTACAGATCAGGGTTGGGTTATAAAAAAATATCAGAAATATTGAACATCCCACGGAACAGCATTAAATCCATTATAAAAAAATGGAAAGAATATGGCACCACAACAAACCTGCCAAGAGAGGGCCGCCCACCAAAACTCACGGACCAGGCAAGGAGGGCATTAATCAGAGAGGCAACAAAGAGACCAAAGATAACCCTGAAGCGGAGATTGGAGTATCTGTCCATAGGACCACTTTAAGCCGTACACTCCACAGAGCTGGGTTTTACGGAAGAGTGGCCAGAAAAAAAGCCATTGCTTAAAGAAAAAAATAAGCAAACACATTTGGTGTTTGCCAAAAGGCATGTGGGAGACTCCCCAAACATATGGAAGTAGGTACTCTGGTCAGATGAGACTAAAATTGAGCTTTTTGGCCATCAAGGAAAATGCTATGTCTGGCGCAAACGCAACACCTCTCATCACACCGAGAACACCATCCCCACAGTGAAGCATGATGGTGGCAGCATCATGCTGTGGGGATGTTTTTCATCGGCAGGGACTGGGAAACTGGTCAGAATTGAAGGAATGATGGATGGCGCTAAATACAGGGAAATTCTTGAGGGAAACCTGTTTCAGTCTTCCAGAGATTTGAGGCTGGGACGGTTCACCTTCCAGCAGGACAATGACCCTAAGCATACTGCTAAAGCAACACTCGAGTGGTTTAAGGGGAAACATTTAAATGTCTTGGAATGGCCTAGTCAAAGCCCAGACCTCAATCCAATTGAGAATCTGTGGTATGACTTAAAGATTGCTGTACACCAGCGGAACCCATACAACTTGAAGGAGCTGGAGCAGTCTTGCCTTGAAGAATGGGCAAAAATCCCAGTGGCTAGATGTGCCAAGCTTATAGAGACATACCCTAAGAGGGGGTGAATACTTTCACAAGCCACTGTATCCCACCATCCCTTGCTCTGCCTTTCACTAAACATATAGATATGGTCCAAAGACCCCCATCTCCCCTCTCACCCTTATCATTTCCCACTCCATTATTATATATTTAATCTCTCCCTCTTCCTCTCTAGCCATCCTTCCCCATTCTCTCGCTTTCTCTCTCATCCTCTTTCCCCTATATCTCTTCTCCATCTCCTCCCCTCTAACTCTCCCCTACCCCCCTTCATTCTCTCCATCTCCTCCCTGAACTCTCCCCTACCCCCCTCATCTCTCCATCCCTCCTAACTCTCCCTACCCCTCATCTCTCCATCTCCCCCCTCTACCTCCCCTACCCTGACATTCTCTCCATCGTCCTCCCTTAACTCTCCCTACCCTGACATTCTCCCATCTCCTCCCCTCTAACCTCCCCTACCCCTTCATTCTCTCCATCTCCTCCCCTCTAACTCCCCCTACCCCTTCATTCTCTCCATCTTCCCCTTACCTCCTCTACCTCCCCCCCCTGCATTCTCTCCATCCCTCCCCTCTAACTCTCCCCTACCCCCCTCATTCTCTCCATCTCCTCCCCTCTAACTCTCCCCTACCCTGACATTCTCTCCATCTCCTCCCCTCTAACTCTCCCCTACCCCTTCATTCTCTCCATCTCCTCCCCTCTAACTCTCCCCTACCCCCCTTCATTCTCTCCATCTCCTCCCCTCTAACTCTCCTCATCCTCCTATCACCCCCCTCATTCTCTCCATCTCCTCCCCTCTAACTCTCCCTTACCCCCTTCATTCTCTCCATCTCCTCCCCTCTAACTCTCCCCTACCCTGACATGCTACCCATCTCCTCCCCTCTAACTCTCCCCTACCCTGACATGCTACCCATCTCCTCCCCTCTAACTCTCCCCTACCCTGACATGCTACCCATCTCCTCCCCTCTAACTCTCCCCTACCCTGACATGCTACCCATCTCTTCCTTTCATGCTCTCCTTTTCTCTCTTCTTTCCTGTTGGTCCTTTCTCCTTCTGGTCCAGATGTTCCTCTCTGCTCTTATTTATCAAACATATTTTTTTCCTCGCCCCTGCTCTGTGAGCTCCATACATTAGCATAGCAATATTCTGCTAATTAGCTGCCCTGGCGCCCCATTAGAGCTGGACATAATGGAGAGCGTATGTAAAGTGTTCACCTGGACCTCTTATCAAGGCTTGTATCATCGTCTTTGAACGTAGAGGATTTGTGATTATATATGGACCTATGTATGTGTGGGTGTGCGCTGTCTACCACGTGTGTGTGTGTGTGTGTATGTGTGTCTGTGTGTGTGTGTGTGTGTGTGTGTGCGTGTGTATGTGCATGAGGGCTGGTTAAGCACTCCCACCATGCCTCTCTCATTGAATAAGCAGGCATAGTGAGGTCTTTGATGTGCTGTATGCAACACACTCCATCAGGACATTACAGTACACTACAGTCTAGTTTTAACAGCCCAGCCTTGTCAGCCACACAGAACCCACGTGACCCCCTGACCCCCTGACCTACTCCCCTCCTGACCTCTGACCCTGACCCCAGCGTGTGTAGGCTGCCAGTGGGCCGGGTGTGCCAACGGGGCTGCTGGGCAATAAAGAGCTTTCCTCAGAGGTGACGGGCATGGTGGGCGGGGGGGGGGCACTTTACTTGGCAAGGCAAATTTTCCCGCCAGCTATTTACATACACAGTAACAATATTAGAGTTTTGCATTAAAAAGACTGCCGGAATAGTTTAATTGAGCGTGTGAGGGACCGAATGTATTTTTAATGAGAGGAGCGCGGAGGAAAAGAGGGAGAGGGGGGTGAAAACAAGTGAAGGAGAGATGGATTGTGCCCATTGTGTTGGGAATAATGTGTCCACAGAGCTAAAAGGTTAGCGCCTCAGCCAAACCACAATGCCTATTAGAATATAAAAAGAATGATGAAATGCATGTAGGATTCAGAGCCCTTGAAAAGGCTCACTCATGGAAGACAGAGAGCCCTGAGACAGGCTCTCGTAGACAGGGTGGGTGTTCACCGCATCTCCCTGCTACCAGTGTTGGGGAAGCTTCTCTGAAAATATAGTTTACCAAGCTACCAGTTGCTTCACAGTAAGAAATTAAGCTACACTAAACCTACCCTTTTGTAAAATACAGTCTAATTATAATAATATGCCATTTAGCAGACGCTTTTATCCAAAGCGACTTACAGTCATGCGTGCATACATTTTTTTTGTGTATGGGTGGTCCCGGGGATCAAACCCACTACCTTGGCGTTACAAGCACCGTGCTCTACCAGCTGAGCTACAGAGGACCACTGAAGTTCTTTTGAAAAAGTAATTCACTACATCCAAACTGTAAATCTGAAATATCATAGACTACAAATTGCAAGAACAGATCACTTTGGGGTCATATGTTAACAGAATGTGTAATTTAGCCTATTAAACACAAGAATTAGGCTGGTCTGATGCTGAAAAAGAAAGGAAATGATTGCCTACTTCCCTCATAATATACTTTTACATTTTTTAAAGTAGTGTGTAGTTCCAGTAGTTAGCTACACCACTATATGGCAAAAAGGTAATGAACTACTGAAAACACTACCAAGATTTGAATTTAGTTCAACTACTACCAAGCTACTGCAAAATGTAGTTAAATTACTAGTTGAACTACATGTAGTTCACTACTCCCCAATACTGCCAGCTACTGGCCTGGTGCTGCTTGACCACCTGGAGACACTTCACTGTTGTAACAGGACAAGAACATTGGGCTACAACATTCTGATAACATTCTATCAATCTAAAGAATGGTTTAGATGGGAGGAAGAGGTATTATTTTGTGGTATCCACTCTCACTTCAATGATCCCAATTGTCTTTTCAATCTAACATTCACTTTGTTCTGAACATACAGTATCTATCTATCACAGATCATACTATAGGTGTTAGGATAAGAACAAATAGAGAACAGATAAATAGTGATAGACCTGATAGATGTTCTGAGTTGTTAGATTGGAGGTAGAGGTGGGAAGATGAGTTTGTTATTGCCCAGGTTCAGGTGTGATATTTCCAGACAGCAGAGGGTGAGTGATAGGCCAGGCATGGTGCCACTCCACCTGGCGGGACTGAGTACCTCTCCTCTACCTCTTCTCTCATCTACCTCTACCTTTCCTGCTGAACCAGGCAGAACAAAGGAAACAGCCTCTGAGTGTTTATTCACCCAGCTCCTGAATAGGCACTATAGCAACAATAAAGCATGTTTGTAATTTAAGCAGAAACAAGGAAAGCTTTAATTAAATAGGATCATTATATCAATGTATCTGTCTGTTTACTGATACCGATATGAAGTATATTTTTTACAATGGAAACAGTGGGTACTGTATGCATACTTAAATACATCTATTCTATATTTGATTAAGTATCAATGTATGGTCTTGGGTGGTCTGATTAGCAGACAAGAAACATTTACTAGTTTGCAGTAGCAGCCCCAGAGCACTGCAGAGGCTTTGATTTCCTGCTGTAGCACATGCACATCTCCCAGTGTGGCGCTAAGAATCAGCAGGGTTCAAAGGGCATTGCCCCCCTTCTCTGTCTGCATCTAGCTGGGATCGATAGACCCAGATGTCTGGAGACTAGAAGGTAATACCCCTCAGAAGCAAACAAATAGCAGGCTGTTAGCGTAGCACAAATCCACCCTCGCTGTCGCTCTCTCTCTCTCTCTCTCTCTCTCTCTCTCTCTTCCTCCCCATAGTAACACACATACAGGAATCGGTTATAGACTTTATCCCGTAGAGCTAGGATGCTAGTGGGTCCTGCTCATTATAGTAGTGTGGAGCTCTGCTACACATGCCTCATTCTGTCACTGGAATATGGGAGTAGGAGGCAAGTTAAAGGGCTTTGTATAACTCATAAAGATTTTTGAGAAATCAATGTGTTTATGTGGGGCGAAGCGGAGTGGAGTCAAACTAATGCATGTATTTTATTTTATCCGCTATTTTACTCTCCTGTAGCTATACCAACCTTGTTGAGGCTGCTGGTAATCCATGTTCATTTACGCTTTCTGAACTAAGGAAAAAGGAGTTTGGAGAAAAACAGGCTTATCTGGGCCTTGCAGCTTATTTGAATGTAAGCCTTTGAACATGTTGAATAGGAAGGAGGAGTATATCGCTCGAGCCATTTTCCTCTCTATGTTTATTTTACTGTCCGTTGGAGACATGGCAACTGGAAGAGTAAAACTTTGCTCTGTTCTGCTGTGTTCTGCTCTGTTCTGTTCTGCTCTGTTCAAAGTCCAATAATCCCAAAAAAATTTTGACACACTGACACATTCTTCCTGAAGTAAGATAATTACTCTACTGAAGTGACTTTAAAAGTTTGAGGTAGATGACCTTTAAGTACAGGGCAAAAATGGAGTTGAATCAGGTTTTCACCTTGGTCTACCCTAGTGTTTAGGATGGAGGATGGAACAGCCAGCCTCAGAAGCAGGGTTGATTCTGGACATCTATTCTAGAGGCTGATTGATCAATTAACTGATTTAAATGTTTCATTAAGCATCTACTCGTGTCCTGGAGGGCTGTGTTGTATTCTAGTGTTGCTTCTAAATGATTGTTAAATTACTTAATTGGACAAATCACCAGCAGAATTGATCCTGATGAGTTTGTATACCAGTGTTAAGAGGCTACCCTGAAGTGTTTTTTTGTAGTGATTCGAAAGAGACTGATCATTCTTACAATTTTTTGTGAGAGTGAAATTAATATAATTCAAATCATGTTGTGTTTCACGTACAGCCAATCAATATCTTTTATTGCGGTAGCTCTTAGTTTTAACCAAACCAATGCACCGTGTGTGTTCAGTGTGTGTGTATTTGTGACCAGTGGAAACCTATGTCTTTTATTTAAATCCCTCTAGACCATGGTGTCACACATATGATCAGGAGAGTGATGGATTAAGTGATTAATTAATTTGGTGGGTGCTTATATTAGTCCTATTTCACTAGTGTGTATTATTCACTAGTGCCATTATCAACAGCAACCCTGGAGCAATTAGTCTTAAATGCCTTGCTCAAGGGCACATAGACAGCTGTTCCACCTTGTCGGCTTGGGGTTTCGAACTAGCAAACTTTCAGTCATTGGCCCAACGCTCTAACCGCCAGGCTATATGCCACTCTGATTAATGACCTAGCTATAAGGCCACCCTCCTTTCTCCTCTCAGTCCTCTTTTAATCTCACCAATGTTCTACCTGTTTTCCCCCTGCCTTTGGGTCTGTCTTTCTGTCCCCATCTTCTTTACTCTCTGTCTCTCAGTAGCTGTTGATAGGATGAATAGTTGACAGTCACTCATCTTGATCAGCCTTTTATCTCTACCTCTTTCATTTCCACCTACCTCTCATTCAACCTGCCTCTTCAACATGGAGATAGATATTAATATTGGTCAGAAAATTAAGATGTGAGACTGAGATGAGGTTGTTAGGCAAGGACAGCCATTTAAACAGTCGATAAATGTGTTTGTGTTCTGTTGAATTGTTTTAGATTCTCTGCAGTGACTCATTCTATCTCTCTGTCTCTCCGTTTGCAGGTGTCTGTCATGTGTCAATGGCTCATTCCCCTGCCACTGGTGTAAATACCGCCACATGTGCACTCAGAACGCCAACGACTGTTCCTTCCAGGAGGGCCGTGTCAATGTGTCAGAGGTGAGAGATCCCCACTGTCCCAAAATACTGCACACTGTCTCCCTGTGTAACAACCATCTCTTCAGTAACACATTAAATTGATGACGCCAGTCAGTGTCATACCCACTCACACACTGTGAAACCTGTCATACAGAAATACAGGCACGCACATGCAGGCACGCACACACACACTCCTCCTCCTGTTGATGAGAGTGATGCACGTGCTGGTTGATATCCAGTAGTCCCCAGCTGGGCTCTTGGTATTGTCGTGCCACCATGCCTGGGCCTCAGATGCTATGAGTGGTAAAGCAGCAGCTGTTTAAATAAAACCAGCCCTGGATTTATGCACTTATAAACAGGCCAGGGTGAATGACTATGCAAATTGTATTGTGTTCTACATTTCCAAATGTTACATTTGCATGAAAGCCAATATCAATCTCATCCGCTGCTCTGCTGTCTCTCTCTCTGTACCGTATTACCACCACCAAACCCAATCTCTCTCTCTCTCTCTCTCTCTCTCTCACTCTCTCTCTCTCTTCTCTCTCCTTCTATCTCTCTCCCTCTCTCTCTCTCTCTCTTTCTCCTACTCTCTCCCTCTCTCTCTCTCTCTCTTTCGGCCCAACCGTGGAATGCCAAGTGCACGCTCTGTGGTGCTGTACAAGAGTGAACTGTTTACTGGCAGAACACAGCCCTCCATCACACACACACACACACACACACACACACAAACACACACACACACACACACACACACACACACACACATACACATACACACACACACACACACACACACACACACACACACACTGTACGAAATGTACAATAAAATCACAAACTCAGTCAACTGTAACAAACAAACAAATTCCTTCAAACCTTAATCTCCAAACCCACTGATCCCTGTGACAATCACCTACTTAAAAGTGTAAATTCACATTTACAGCCATGTCGAGTGACCTCGGGGGACGTGAAACCCTGAGCTATCTGTTCAGACGCTGTGTTCTGCTGTTCAGTGCTGCGAGCGTCTCTGAATGTGCCTGATGTATACATGTGTTTGTCTTGGCTGTGAGCAGAGTAGGTTCCTTATCTCTTCCATGGCAGAACACCTTTCCCATGCGTCTGGGTTACATTGCGGTTTATTTATGATATTAATTGGCCATGAGGTATCCTACCTCAATCCAATTACGGACCGCAGCTTTTATCTCTGCAGCGTAGCTGCAGGCGTCGCCGCTCACAGCACTACAGATGCTCTCTCTCTCTCTCTTTCTCTCTGTCTCTTTCTCTCTCTCTCTCTCTCTCTTTCTCTCTCTCTTTCTCTCTCTCCCACTCTCTCTCCCACTCTCTTTCTCTTTCTCTCTCTCTCTCACTCTCTTTCTCTCTCTCTCTCTCTCTCTCTCTCTCTCTCTCTCTCTCTCTCTCTCTCTCTCTCTCTCTCTCTCTCTCTCTCTCTCTCTCTCTCTCTCTCTCTCTCTCTCTCTCACTCTCTCACTCTCTCACTCTCTTACCTCTAAAAGGAAATTACATGGATTAACATTCTGTTCTGTTTCTGTAAAACCAATGCTCTCTCTCCCTGCAAAGCTGCGTCTATAAACGTGGCTAAGTGTCTAGTCTCAGGAAAGACAATTTGGCATGCATTCATACAGGGTGGTGGAGGGGCCGGGCTGTGGGGGGCTGTATTTTTGGGAAAAGGTGTGTGAAGAAAGGGCAGAGAATAGAGAAAATAGGGGAGAGGTGAGAGGCGACACATACAATGAGGTTTCGTGGTGTCATAGTGATGGTCAAAATGGTGGACTAAATGCCATCAGTCAGACAGCCTGTTCTTCCCCCTGAGCTGAGCTGTAATCCAACCAAACCACTCACATACACTATACTCCCAGCACTGATATTTTCTCATTTTGGTGCATAGGTTACCATGGTAACATGAATAGTCCGTATCAATAGGCTTGTTACACACAGATGCCATTATTTTATGTTGCACAATGCCAAGGCCACCATTTATCCTTTCTTTTGATGGACTCTTTGTGCACCATAGTCGATAATACAATTGAACCCAAAATGTATATAAAACAACGGGTTTCAATGGAGTAGGCATTTTGGATGGGAAGGAAAATGACGCAACATTTGAAATAATGTGTAAATAAGTCATAGAGATTTATTGTGTTATCACTCTTTCGCCAAGTCACACTCAACTTTTACAGTATCTGTATGCCCATTGATATGCCAAAATACATTTCTCATAGTTGTGTGTCCACCAGCATCGTAACTAAGTCCCCCAATGTAATGAGTAACATTAGCAAATCAAATGTATATCAATCAACATCTGCCTGACAGCCGATAAACAAAGGAGCACATTAAATCCGACCAGGCAGAAAATTGCTAGAGTAAGCCACACTTGAGAAACCCATCAGGATAAATGAATAAACAAACAAACATTGAAACAAACAAATTTGTTCCGCTGTGCAGGGTTGTCATGGACAGTGGTTGTGGGTAGGGTCTGTTGGTCTGGTAGAAGTAGCGGCTGTCTGTCTGTTTGCAGCCAGTCTCCAACAATGTGATGGACTCGTTACAGAACTGGGCTTAGTCAAAGAATCAAATCCCTGATAGAAGGGCTATACCCAAAACATGATCAAACAATGAGTCCTTATGGAGTTCCCTACATGCAGTAACTATACACTGAGTGTACAAAACATTAGGAACACCATCCTAATATTGAGTTGTACCCGCCTTGCCAATTCACCTTCTGAATGGCACACATACACAATCCATGTCTCAATTGTCTCAAGACTTAAAAATCCTTCTTTAACCTGTCTCCTCCCCTTCATCTACACTGATTGAAGTGGATTTAACAAGTGACATCAATAAGGGATCATAGCTTTCACCTGGTCAGTCTATGTCATGGAAAGAGCAGGTGTTCCTAATGTTTTGTACACTCAGTGTAAATTATGTCACCCACTGGGGGAATAAAACACTTCTGCTACTTTTCCTTGTCCAATTCATAACCATTAGAGCAGCTTTGGCTGTACAGATGTAAACATGGAGATGGAGATTAGTCTTTATTAGCTGATTATTACAAGAAGCATCAAAACACCAGAGGGAGGTAATGTGTATCTCTGTTCTCCTCCTGTCACCCACATTTACTGCTCTGGAGGGTGAAACATAGGCCTAGTGTACTTCCTTAGATTAAGATATTACACACTAGGCTTGCTTTGGTTAACACCAGTTAATACCGGTTGTCATAGATTTAAATAAAATCGATTATGTATTTGTGGCTATATGTCTGATGAAGTATGTATTCATGGTAAAACCTGGAAAGTAAAAGCTACTCCTCACTCGGATCCTCTTCTAGTCCTAATTTCTGTATTCATGCATTTAGACAGGCATCCTCAGTGCCACCTCTCTCTCCTCCCCGTCTGCCAAGCATAATTCCTTCCTTCCCTCGAATTTACAGTCTGTCTCATGTGGCTGTCAGGTGTTTTTTTTCCTCCGCCCTCTCTCGTCTCTCTGGTGTTGTGAAAGCATTTCTCCTGTGAGTACACACATGCATGCACACAAACACACACACACACACACACACACACACACACACAAATACATACACACTAGAGGACGTGCGCCCAACAGCATCTTGGTAAGATGCAGTAGCGCTACAGTAAACAGACTGTAAACAAGCAAGGGAGGAGAAGACCTGCCAAAGAGCACAAGCTCCAACTCTCAGCCCTGCTCAACTTTGGCTTTCTCCATCCCCAGTGTCACTACTCAGAACAGACCAGCCAACTCCACCACTACTGCAGCCAGCCTTACAGAATGGGACAAACATCTGAGGCTGTACCATTAACACTAGAAATGCTGGGCCTGGAGGGACCCTACTTCAAGCCAATGACGCGTCTTTTGGAGGTCAACATTCTAACAGTCTAATAAATAAATGTCATATGCTATTGGAAAAATAATCATTTGGTTGTGTTTATGAAGGTGAACATGAAGAAAAAAATATAATACAACATAATAACATTTTCATTAGTTTATGTTACTGTAGGCTATATGTAAAAACAAAAAACACAAAAAACACCACAATTAAAGTGTTAAATCGATCACAAAGAAATCCTTTATAATTTTGTTTTGGCAGGTCTTAAGAAACAGTATGGAAATAAGAAAATGTCTTTCAAAAGACAGAATAGCACATTTTATTTTGTTACCAGTCTTTGCTTAGTAGCCTGAGCTAAATGATATGCTTCCACTTGCTCACATGCATGGAACAGCGGTTATTCTTAGAAAAAGCCATATTTTGAAATAGAGCTCACCTCTTCAATTTTGAGAGTTATTTGGCAAAGGTAAGTGTTTTAGAAACTGCTCTTTCTGATATTATACAGAAATCATGTGCATGTGACTCTGTTGGAGGATTTGAATAAGTGACTTTTTGGCACTCCGTTTTCCTGCCTCAAGCTGCACCGATCTCTTCATATAAAATCGGACAATTGATAATATTGTCACCCATCAGACTATTGTGAATTTAATCTTGTCTTTAGGCTAATTCTATTAATATACGTATGTGTTAAATTAGTTTCGATATAGTTTAGGTGTAGTTTCGATGGGACATCATCAGCTGGGCAGGCTGACTGGTGGTGAAGTACTGATGGTGAAGTACTGGTGGTGAAGTACTGGTGGTGAATGAAAAATGACATGACCTCTTAAAACTGCTTATAACACAAATTCTGTTCGCGATATTTAAATTATTTCAACATACGTGTGTTACAGATGTAGGATCTTCATTTGAGCCAGTTTGCTACAGCAGAAAAATAATCCTGCAGCAACAGGAAATGTGAATTATCATGTGGATTATAATGGTTCTATATCTGGTTCTCCCTGGCGCTGCCTCCCGCTCATGGATCCAAGCCTGCCACTGATCTGCACCTGCTTTAATTATTCAAAGTGTATTCAATCTTCATTTCCAGATGCCTCAACGTCTGTCCTCCTAATGGATGCTGAGGATGAATTTTACATAGAGGAGTTGAGATCCTGGTGAAGGCTTCTTCATGTGGGGTTTGGTCCAATGACACCATCTGGGCCAGCTCCACTTCCTTTATTTTCTCTTGAATAATTCCTACTCATCTAATGCTGCTGTCCTACTTCTCCCCTTCAGAGAAAGTACTGACTCTAGAACTCCCCTTGCAGCATCAGCATAATACGTGATCAGTGATCATGTTTCATGTTTGGTGCAAAGCTTGTTCTTTGTACAGTTTGTACAATATTATTAATTCTATAAACTGAGATAAAGTATTTTTAGCGAAGTGGTCAGTATCTGTGACTCCATAGCAGATTTCTCCCAGGAGTTTTTGACCGTGCATATTTCATCTCCCTACTCTCCGTTCTCCATCACAGGAGGGCCCAAGAGTGGGCGGACACTCCAAAAGCCTTTTCATGGTTCAAAGTCCCTTTCATTTAACCGCTGAGCTTTTCTGAGAGCCTCATGGTGTCTTATCAAGCACAGTTCTAACACTGTGTCTCACCACAGGACTAGACCTTGGGAACTTAATTCATACAACCCAACGAGTGTTACTCTTTACAACTTTTGTCATAGTAATATAATTACATAGTTACATAATATAGTTCTATACAGACATATACCTGTAAATAGTTGTTGTTTGTTGCAATGTTATCTTATGGTCCTAAACACAACCCAATATCAATTGTCTGAGCTCAGTGTTTCCTAGCATCAGGTATGAATAGCACTCTGTGTGTTGATCTGGTGTACCTACAGTAACACACACCCCTGGGAGTTGGTTGTGAAAGTCTCCATCGATTTGCAAAGTGTTGCTTATCACATTTATTAATGTCTCTGCATACAGCCTAGATACAGTGTGACAGAAACAGACAGGACCATCTCTGATAAAACAAAGCCCAGAGCTCCATTGTGTTTGGCTCAAACAGCTCAGCTCTGTCCAAATCAAGAGGCCAGCGGGGAATTATTGGATTCGGCACGGAGCGGCCGACAGGCCTGAAATCACTGAGAGGGCTTGATGGATATGATATGCTGCTCACTGGCCCCCTTGACCTGTCTGCACAGTATTCTTAGGAGAGATCTATAGGGACGTGTATTGGCTCGCATGAAACCTAGCAAACCCAGCAAAGTGAGATCATATTATTCAGCATCTCTCCGTCCGTGTCTCCCTCGGGAGATGTAGTCATCATATCAGAGCCCTTTTTAGCACTTCCTCTTTCTCTGTCATGCCCCTCTGTGTGTCCGGTCGGTGTGCGTTGCGCTTGTGGATGTGGGTCCTGCTCCTTGCTAGGGGGCCAGTTCACTGGGCTGTATCGGTAATCCATAAGGGCGCTCGGCAACTCTCTACTCGCCCCGCCTCGCCCCACCGCACACCCTTCTGTCAATCACAAAGATACTCATCTATCAAACCCCCTTGTCGCCAGCAGTGACACCCCATTCTTCATGGTGGATTGGGATTGATCAGGGGACCTGGAGGAGGAGGAGGCCCAAGAGGTCACAGCCAGCAGCCAGAAGCCAGCGCCCCACAGAGAACACGTCAGCATCCCATGATGACATCACCTCATTACTGTAGGGTCAAGCAGGGCCAATGGGAGATCAATGAGAAATCATCTGCATGAGAAACTAGGAAGACCCTCGTTCCTCTCTCTCCATGGCCTACAAACCCTACCCTCTCCCTCTGCTAGTGTTTTTAGAAGAATCATAGTTCATCCCTGTTGCAGCAGTCTCCCTCTCTCTTCCTTGCTCTCTCTCTCTCTCTCTCCTCTCTCTCTCTCTCTCTCTCTCTCTCATCTCTCTCTCTCTCTTCCTCTCTCTCTCCTCTCTCTCTCTCTCTCTCTCTCTCTCTCTCCCTCTCTCTCTCTCTCTCTCTCTCTCTCTCTCTCTCGTTCTGCTGTTTGTTATGTGAGCCCTGCTTAATGTTCTCAGACTGCCACCTCGGCAGTGTTGCACAGCTTTCTGGGAGGGGAAAATCAAATGCTAACAGAAATCTGTTGCCAGAGGGGGCATGGCTGGAGGCTGCGTTTCAGTAAAACAAACACCATGGAGACTAGCATGCCATACAGAGCTGCCAGGGCCAGGCTAGCGCTAAGAGGAGGATATGGGAGAAGTCGAGATGAGTCTGGAGTTAGAAAACCCACTCATCTTTATCTGCTGCTGGCCAACTCCTTATGCTTTCTTCCTGTTTGCCCTCAAGACAGGTTTCTCTGCAGCTCTCTGACTCCCAACCCCAGGGTTAGATTGTGGTTTTGGAGCAGAGACAGCTGTAAGCTCTGCCTCTCTCTCTCTCTCCCAGAGATCCAGCCTTGTCTTTCCCCCAAGGGATGGATGGTAACACAAATAATCAGCCAAACACTCTCCCCTTTGGTGAACCCCTGACTCTCCTCCTGACTCTCATTCCCACCTTAATAAACGGCTGTGTGTCTCCCAGGGCCGTGTCTCACCTCTGTCTGACTCCCAGCACCAGGGGAGAGAGGGGGATGAGGGAAAGAGGGGGAACAGGGGAAGAGGGGGAGAGAGGGGGAGAGGAGGAAAAAAGGGGGAGATGGGGAGAGAGGGAGAGAGAGGGGGAGAGAGCATTGAGAGCAGCTAACCTAACCTGGAGCCCCAGCTCACACAAGCCTCTCTCTCTCTCTATTTTTCTTTCTCTCACTCTGTCATTTCAAAGGAAATAAAGGAGTGAAAAAAGAAAAGAGAGAAACCACTTCAAAGGAATCCCCTTGGTAAACCATTGTTCCATTGTATTCCGCAAGAGTGCAATCTGATACGCACTTTCAACTCTGTTTTGACACCTGTCAGGACTGGTAATGAAATAGTTACTATTTTTTCTTCACCACTTTTTGTTCATCAATGGATTGTCTCTCTCTCTCTTGCCCTCAACTTGTGTTCATCATCAGTTCCCCTCTGAACGTGGCGGGTCTTCGTCTCCTGGCTCTGGCTGATGGTTGATGATTGGATTTGGCTGGGCTGGGTGCTGAGAGCTGCAGGATGTGGTTCTGGCTTGGCCCGCAGTGCTGATCCAGCACTCTTTGTGTCTACGACCCTCCAATCCATGCCAATGCACCAGGCCTCTGGGGTTTCTGCTGCAGGCGGGCGGGCCGTGTGTTGGCACAGGTGGGACCAGTGTGTAGTCCAGACTGAGGACAATCTGTCTGTCTTTGTCTCTGCACTGTCTGACCAGAGACACGTGTTGTACATACCATAGAAGGAGGCTGTGGTCTGTCAGACCCAGATAGTGAGCGATAGCAGCGTTACACCACTGGTTGGGTGGGAGGACTGTTTGACTTCTTTGTCCTAGAGACAGACTGATAAACACATGAATGTGTGCACACACACACACACACATCCACACACACACACACACAGACACACACACACAGACACACAGATACACACACACACAGTCCCTATCAGAGGCTGGAGGGAGTTCATTAAGCGTGTTGTTTACGCTTGTCTGTTCCCCACCTGTGTGCACTGAATACTAAAGCAAATGGCTGCCTGGCCACCAGCACAACGTCTCGTTCAGACTCAGCGCAGCCCCCCTGGAATTGATAATCCTCTCTCGCTGCCGCTTTAGAATTGGGGATTCATTCACAAGCCCCATTATTCTTGTTTCGCTATTTGGTTTTGTGCCTATCGGGAGGAGAATAGGTATCACCCAATTCCATTACGTCCAATGATTTTTTTGGCCTGCTGTCTTTACGATTCAAATTGCAATTTCAAGTCATTACCTGCACTTAATTTAACGCTGGTTTAGCAAAGCACAAACTGATTTACAAATGAGCCTGCAGACCAGGGAGACGATGTTCAGCTAATAATGATTAAAGAGACCAAAGTTTCCATGAATATTTTGGGATTATTGCCATCACAGAATATTACCGTACTCAACACTGTTTATTCAAAGTAATATGGACCTCAGAGTTCCTTATCCTCAGTAGTTAAGGATAGTCTTCAGCTATTGGCTAATAGCTCCCTATTGTCTTGAGGTGAATCCTATACATTACTTCTAGCTTAGCTAGCAAGAGTCTTCCATTGTCTAATACATAGTAATTGAAGACAAAGACAGATCTGTCCAGATTCTTGCATAATCATATATTTATTCAGCGGAGAAGAGGAGTTGGTGGTGGTGAGAGGAGAGTAGGGGAGGGGAGAGGATAGGAGAAGAGAGGAGAGGAGAAAAGAGGAGAGGAAAGGAGAGCAGGAGAGAAGAGGAGAGGAGCAGAGGAAAGGAGGCGAGAGGAGAGGAGAGGTGAGTAGGGGAGGGGAGAAGGTAGGAGAAGAGAGGAGAAAAGAGGAGAGGAGGAGAGAACGGGAGAAGAGAGGAGGAGAGCTGTGGTGGAACACAGTTTAATAACAAGACTGCAGCCGCAGGCAATTAAATCTGCAGCCCAATGGAAGCGCCTGGCTGCCTGGTGTCACAGAGACCTGTGTTAGCTTCTGAGAAGGAGTCTGTTTACACAGCCCAACTTATGATAAGAAGCTTCACTCACACACACAGGAATGATATTCACAGTCCTCAGTATAGAGTATACTAGACACTGGTCTACCAGACCTGGAGTCATTCGCTAGAACTGAGAATTAAAATAGCAATCATATTATGTTTGAAATTCCTCAAACGTCTACAAATGTTGATATTGGAATAGTTTTGGCTTAAGGTACAGATTCATGACATCTTTTTTAATTTAGGCTTGGCCCTTTGACTCTTCCTACTGACCAAGGTTGTCTGCTGTCTGGCTTGTTTGTCTAGCTTATTGGCATTGACTCATTTGAATAGAAAGAGAAACAACACATTTCATTCACTCACATTAGCATGGTACTGTTAATGTATTTGCTATGTAACTGTTTGGAGTAGTAATATTTTTTCTTTACAGCCTGTTGCTAAATCTTGTGTGGGAGAGGGTGACGTCTAAAATCAACAAACACATTTTTCCTCAGCCAACTTTTGCCAGCGAGCGGGACACATGACAAATGTGTCTGTGGTGGCCCATCTTCCGTTAGTTGATGTATTTCTTTAGTTGCCCGCTGCTTTGCTCCTGTCCTCTCCAGTGCCCTCGAGTTGGGCAGAGAGGAGTCAGGGCCAAGAGAGGCAGCGAGACAGCACTGCTGGCTCTTGCCCACTG